TTCGCCAGCAGGCCAGGGGGCGGTGGGCGAAGAGGAGGAGGAGGAGGAGGGAGGAAGAGGAGGAGGAGGAACGAAAAGGAGGAGGAGGAGGAGGAGGAGGAAGATTGTGGAGGAGGATCGAGGAGGGGCTCCCGAACGTCTCGTCGGCCATGTTCGCCATCCTCGCGTCGAACGTTTCGATCATCTCCTCTGGCAGTGCGGGATGCAGTTGGCGGCCCCGACCCCGCCGGCTGATTTGAGCCAGTCGTTCCTCCTCCTCCTACGCCTCCCCCTCTGCCTCCCTCCTCCATCCTCCCTCCTACGTCGTTCCTGCTCAAACCTCCTCCCTCAACCCTCCTTCCTTCTCCTCTCCCTCTTCCTCCTTCTCCTCCTCCTCCTCCTCGTCTCTCCTCCTCCTCATCGTCCCTCCTCCTCCTCCTCCTCTTCTGAATACCCGTATTATTATTCATAGTAGTATCCTTATCTGTCTTATTATTATTGCTACTCGTATGAATGTCGGTATTCCTCTTATTCGTGCAACTATTATTCATCTTACGATTAGTTTGGCTCCTCGCCTTCTTATTTTATTAGTCGTATGTGTAGTGTTCCTACTAGTATTTGGATTACTGCTATTATTCGTATTATTGGTCGTGAAGTTCGTCTTCTTAGTGTTCTCCGTACTCGTAGCGATTATATTATTATGGCTATTCGTAGGACTAGTTCTCGTAGCCTTCGCGGTACTAATCTTCTTCGAATTAGTCATGGCATTGGTAGTCTTATGAATCGCAGCAGTACTATTAGTGTAACGCTTAGTATTGCTAATAGTCGTATGAGCCTTCGTAAACGTATGAGTGATGACAAGACTCTAATATAACTATTAGTAGTCGTAGTCTTCGAAATAGTAGTAATAGTGGTAGTGTCATCAGTAATACGATAATGCATTATTCATACAATGACTATTGGTATGTTTAGTGTTCGTAGTATTCGTCATATTCGTCAGACTCGTCATCTCCTCCTCCTCCTTCTCGTCCTCCTCCTCCTCCTCCTACCCGTCCCTCCTCCTCCTCCCCCTCCCCCTCCTCCTCCGTCTCCACCTCCACCTCCACCTCCTCCTCCTCCTCCTGCTCATCCTCCTCCTCATCCTCATCATCCTCCGCTTCCTCCTCATCCTCTTCCTCCTGTTCCTCCGCCTCCTACTCCTGCTGTTGCTGCTGCTGCTGTTTCTGCTCCTGCTCCTGCTCCTGCTGCTGTTCCTCCCTCTCAACCTCCTCCTCCTCCTCCTCCTCCTCCACATCCTCCTCCACCTCCACCTCCACCTCCTCTCCTCCTCCCCCCCTCCTCCTCCTCCTCCTCCTCTTTCCTCTCCTCCTGTTTCCTGTTTTTCTCCTCCTCCTCCTCCCTCCCTCCCTCCTTCCCTCCCTTCCTCCCTCCACCTCCCTCCCTCCCACCCCCCTCCCCCCCTCCTCCCACCTTCCCTCCTCCCTCCTCTTCCTATCTCCTCTCTCCCTCCTCCTCCCTCTCCCTCCTCTTCTCCCTCATCTCCCTCTACCGCCTCTCGTCCTGCCTCCGCCTTCCTTCCTCATCCCTTCTCCCTCCTCCGTCCTCCCTCCCTTCCTCTCTCCCTCCTCATCGCCTCCCTCTCTCTCTCTCTCTCCTCCCCCATCCTTCCTCCCTCCCTCCCTCCTTCCCTCCCTCCCTCCCTCCCTCCTCCCTCCGCCCTCATATCTCCTCCCTCCTCCCTGCCTCCCTCCTCCCTGCCTCCCTCGTCCCTCCTCTCTGCTCCCTCCGTCCTGCATCCTCCTTCCGCCCTTCTCCCTCCTCTCTCCTCCGTCCTCCCGCGTCCTCCTCCTCCTCCTCCTCCTCCTCCTCCTCTTCCTCCTCCTCCTCCTCCGCCTCCTCCTCCCCATGTTCCTTCTCCGCCTTCCCTCCTCCTCCCCTCTTCCTCGCAGGAGGGAATATCAGCCGACCGAAATTGCCGGAGAGGAAGACGAAGCATAATACGGAGGAGGACGAGGAGGAGGAGGAGGAGGAGAAAGGATGAGGAGAAGGACCAGTGGAAACCCACGAATCATCAACGATGTTAGAATACACCCTCCCCCCCAGCTCACACTCCATGGGCCTCTTTTTCAAGGGTTCATGTCGACAGGGAAGCTGCTTCGCCAGGAAACAACCTTTCGAAGACCCTGAAGCGTGCCAAAACAACATTTCCAGGACTGCAACGCCACGAATCAGCATGACTGTTGCGTTTTGCTGCGATCCTGCATCATGCCAGAACACCATTCCTGGCACATCGGCACCGCGAATCAACGTAACTGCTGAGCCCTCACAATCCTGAATATCACGAGCACAATTTCTGGCACGTTGATGATGGGAACCCGCGTTTACAATATATATATATATATATATGTGTGTGCATTGTAACATCCGTACACGCAAACATGCATCCATACATGCCTACATACATACATCCATGTGTATATACGCGCACATACATACATTCACATATATATATATATATATATATTCATTAACTCATGTATATAGACCTCCCCTGAACATGTACAACTAGAACCATCGCGCGCGGTGCGCGTGCGCTCAACTTCTAGCTAGGCTTGATAGGCTGACTCATGGAATCGCATGTTGGTCGCTTCTTGCGTCCAGGGACTCCCTTGGAGGCCCTGCGCAATCCTCGGAATCGTATAGAAGGGGAAACGCGGAAAGCAGAAATAATTGATTTCCTTTAGGCATTCAACGATTTGGGGACCTCCAAGGCATCCTGGGTTATTTTTGGGAGGTGAGGGGGGTGTGAAGTGTGGTCTGTTGTGCAAGAGTACACTGGGGGTCAAACTTGAAAAAGAAAAAGGAACCGTGGGATTCCCATGTTTTTCCAATTCCTCGGCGCTGTTCGGCGCTGTTTTTTGTTTGTGTCTCGCGAGTTTTGTTGGCCGGGCCTCTCAGGGGTGTGGAATCTTCTGAACCCCCTGGGGGTTCTGGAGGCCTCCTGGACTCCTGGAGGCCTGGAGAGCCGTCGCAGGGTGTCGCGGGCTGCGCGGGAGCGTGTTGGGCCGTTCTTTACGTTCTGGGGGCTCCTTGGGGTCGTCATGGGCTGTCCTTCGGCGACTTGGGGTCTCCCACGGGAAGCCGGGAGGCGGGGTACCGGCCAGATGTCAGGGGATGTGTAGGACCCCCGAGTAGGAGTCCCACTTTTGGGGGAATCCCCTTTTTTTTCAAATCCTGCCTCTTTTTTCCAAAAGGGGGGATTCTGGGAATTCCCTTTTTTCCCTCGATCTTCGAGGGTTGGAAGCGGGAAAACGTGAGAAGGCGAAAAACATTAGAAACACCGTGGGACATTAACAATGTTACCCTCTTGGGGCTCTCTCGGGACGGCTCTCGCAGCTCTCTTGGGCTGTTCTTGGAGCCTCGTCGGGGTCTTTTCTGGGGCCTCTCAGGGATCGGAGGTGTGTTGGGGGCCTTTGGGTGGTCCTGGAGGACTTTCGGAGGTCTCTGAAGCCTCCTGCTCCCGCTCTTGGCCTTATCTTAGGCCTGTTCTGGGGTGGTCTGGAGCTGTCCTGGGCGCCTCTTCGGCAGTCTTGGAGCCTTCTTGGCCCGTCTCGGGGTCGTCCTGAGGATCTCTTGGGTGGTCTTGGGGCGGTCTTGGGAGCCTCGTCGGCGCTCTTGGACCATTGAAAGCTCGAAAACGCGAGAAGTCAAAAACATTGGAAAACATGATCGACCCACGAACCCGGAAAGGAATATAGAAATGTAAGACATGGCAACGTTTCAAAGACACCTGATTGGGCGACGGGCAAATGCAATGCTTAGTGTATCGATCTTGATGTACCGTGCCGAGGGCTGTGCTGTGCTGTGCCGTGCTGAATTGCGATGTGCCATGCCACGAGTGTGCTCTATAGCGCTGTGGATCGAGTCCTCCTTTGCATCCGAGTCCTGACCGAACTGATCTGGATCTTAAGCTCGAGCTGCCTAAGCACATAACTAGTAGCTGCCCCAGAGTTGATTGACAAGGGAACATGCCAGGAGGACGCGCCGCAGAACGTCCCAAGGGACGCGCCAGGCGACGTGCCAGGGGACGTGCCATGGGGACGCACCGCGGGACGTGCCAAGGGGACGCGCTACGGAATGTGCCAATGGACGTGCCACGGGACGTGCCAAGAGACGCACCAAGCGAGGTGCCAGGGGACGTGCCACGGGGACGCACCGCGGGACGTGCCAAGGGGACGCGCTACGGAACGTGCCAATGGACGTGCCACGGGACGTGCCAGGGGACGCGCCGCGCGACGTGCCAGGGGGACTCGCCACAGGACGCGCCACGGAACGTGCCAAAGAACGTGCCAAGTTGCAATGCTGAGTGAGTGTATCGATCTTGATGTACCGTGCCGCGGGCTGTGCTGTGCTGCGCCGTGCTGAACTGCGATGTGCCACGTGGCGATTGTGCTCTACAGCGTTGTGGATCGAGTCCTCCTTTGCATCCGAGTCCTAACCGAACTGATCTGGATCTTAAGCTCGAGCTGCCTGAGCACATAGTAGCTGCCCCAGAGCTAATTCACGGGGGGCATGCTAGGAAGACGCGCCGCCGAAAGTTCCAAGGGACGCGCCAGGCGACGTGCCAGGGGACGTGCCATGGGGACGCACCGCGGGACGTGCCAAGGGGACGCGCTACGGAACGTGCCAATGCATTATGGACGTGCCACGGGACGTGCCAGGGGACGCGCCGCGCGACGTGCCAGGGGGACTCGCCACAGGACGCGCCACGGAACGTGCCAAAGAACGTGCCAAGTTGCAATGCTGAGTGAGTGTACCGATCTTGATGTAATGTGCCGAGGGCTGCGCTGTGCTGCGCCGTGCTGAACTGCGATGTGCCATGCCGCGAATGTGCTCTACCGCGTTGTGGATCGAGTCCTCCTTTGCATCCGAGTCCTGGCCGAACTGATCTGGATCTTAAACTCGAGCTGCCTGATCACATAGTCCACGCAGTAGCTGCCGCAGAGCTAATGGACAAGGAAACATGCCAGGGAGACGCGACGCGGAACGTTCCAAGGGACGCGCCAGGCGACGTGCCAGGGGACGTGCCACGGGGACGCACCGCGAGACGTGCCAAGGGGACGCGCTCCAGAACGTGCTGGGGACAAGCGTCGTGTCGGTGGCCTGGACACGTAAAAACACGGTGCCAGCTCGGGACAACCATGAGAGAT